TTGTAAAATTTCAAAAGTATGATTTTTTTCGGTGTCTTCCTACAACTACAAAATTAAAGATCGATATTTTTGCTTCAAATAAAATTTGTTCTCTATAGTGAGTTCTGTTGGCACTTAAGCGGCTAAATTAATTCAAATTTGGCGCCACGCTTCGATCATCTCAGTTTCACTACTATATGAAGCCATTTAAGTAGAAAAGTTCATTTCAAACTTCCCGTGTGCGAGATAGTTAATTTGGCCTCTCCTCCCCCCTCCCCCACCAAACAGCGAATTCTTATCCAATTGGCAGAAAATTCATTTGACATGGAAGTTCTTTGCAACGGACGTTCTACAAGTTACCAATAGATCGCTCCACCTCCTGTCAAAGATCTCTCACGCCTTTAGTACACACATTTCGTCGATTTGTAAACACTATTGCATTTGTGACTGGAAGTGCTTGAAATGACGTCATATGAAGTTTTTTAAAAACTCAATAGTTTTCTGTGAAAAGAGATTCAATTTCAAATTTATAGTAGCGCTTAAATGCCATTTCTTTAAAAACGGCTCCAAATTTTTGAAAGAAAGTTGCCAATTAAGACGATGTTTTGTTGTTCTTTAATATTCTTAAATAATATTTCCGTTCTACACTTTGAAAGTAGAATAATTAAGACAATTTCAAACAAACGTCGTTTGGGCGTCGATAGATGGCAGCTGGCAAGAGTATGTGACAAGTGCGAATAGCTTGCGGAGACCAAATGATATAGGAAATGATTAAGGGAAAGTCTGTGCCATTTGCAGCACCACTAGTTCCCTTGAAATTTCGGAGTTTTCTTCGGTGTCATTTCATAGAAACGTTCCATCTCATCTCTGTTCAATATGTTGTGAGTTAAATAGAATCATGACAGTAAAAGCCTGCTCTACAGTAATTTGATTTTTGTAATACTACGTACTAGACATTAAAACAGTAACAAAAAATTATAAGACGCAATCTGTTTTTTGACAAGTTACTGGAGAAACAAAGTTCATTTTGAACATCGGGAAATAAAATTCTTAAACAATTTGTTTGAAATGAGTGTTTTAATTATGACATTAATACAGATTAGTTGTATCATGTTTGTCTCCATTTGGAATGGAGTTAGCAATTAGTAATAAGTTGAAAGCTTCTTAGTTGCCCATTTACGTTTATTTACCTTATTCATCGCTTGAATTACTCATCCGAATAGCTTCTTGGAAATTTTAACTACCGTTGATATGAAAATGAAACTGGAGGGGGGAGGAGAGATGCAAATGAAATGGATATGAAATAAATGGCAAATGTAATGAAGGGGCTATTTTGATTCGGGAGTGACTTGTTTACGTGGCCGAAGGGCGTGGAAGGGAAACGGTCGGTGGCGCAGTTGGAAATTGTTGGCTGCCAAGCGCTGCACTTGCGGGAGTTGGCTCCGCTCCGCCCCCAGCGCGTGCGGGTGCGGGTGCGGGTGCGGGATCGGGATCGGCGCTGCATGTGGCGCGCGACGTAAGCTGCGAGCGGCCTCGGCATTCCGCACTTTTCACGGCCGCGCCTGCTGCTCGGCTCGAATGTATCGAATGAGATACACCGGACATAGTAATAACAATGGTTTTATTGTGATCTTCGTTAAAATATTTCCTTATATGTACACGTACCAACTGCCATTAATGAGAGGATGCCCATAAACGTAGCTTGGTCACCAGATGCGTGCGGGGCACAATCCTGTAATCGTATCTTACGTCGACGTGACCACCTAACTTGATCAGGCGCTCTCTCACTATCTACGCGTTCCAAGTACTCGACTGCCTCTTCGGGGCGCAGCTGGCTCCTTGAATAGCAGGCGCCGCCGTTTCCCGAGACTCGCTCCCCTGGCTCGGCGTTGCTGGAGGGAGTCCCGCGCTCCCTGCTTCTCCTTTCAAGAAATCGCGTTATCCACGGCGCGCGCTCGGCCAATTTAAATGTTGGCTGTGCGTAACAGTATCTGCTGGTATTTCCTTCGGACGTGCTTCTGTTTTCCGGCGTACATCACTGTTTCGGAGAACAAACGGAGGATTGGCATGGCCGGATCGTTTTAAGAGTGGGAACT